CAAATGCTCCCCAAATGCAACCACATATTTTCTACTTTCTGAAGAATACTGTATTTCTGAAGGCACCAGCAATCAACATGTTTCTCATTTGAAACTAAGTTTAATCTGAACTAGTTGTTTCCTAGCTATTTGCCTTGGGCAAACCAATGCCTGAGAATTTTTCTCATAAGAAAACTAAGGAGCATGCAGGATGGGAATAGACTGATGGAAAACCATGCATTTTTCAGAGAGAGAGCGCTATCTGCAAGGGATGGGGCAATGATCGGATTAAGTGTTGAGTTGTTAGAGATTTGTGGTGCTGCCTCAGAATCAACAAGATTTGGTTGACTGAACATATACTGGTCTCTCAGAGCTTGCAGACTTCACTTGAAGAAGGAGATTAAAGCTATTCTAAATTGCTATGTGATTTGAGGGAGGTTATATACCAAAGGTATTTAAAAGTTGGGGTTTTATAGCCACTACTTCCACACTATCTTCTTTGCATTCAATAAATACCAACAAAAAACTTGGTGTTTAGTGAAAAGTGACAGATAAAGTGTAAGGAAAAAACCATGGTATGCCACTAACACCTGAGTGACTTCGGGCAAGTTATTTATTTCTCAGATCTTCAGTTACTTCATACAAAAGACAGACATAATGATGCTGTGTTGAGTTGAGAATGGTGCATTGTTGAGAATCATGAATAAAAAAGTCCCTAGCATAGTGCCTGTACATTGAAGAAAATAAGCACTCTTTTTTGTCTTTACTTATGTCACCAGAATATCTTAAGTTCTGTTTAACACGTGTTTTTTTTTTTTCCCCTCTTTATTTCAGGAGGAATGGCCACTAGGGACTTTCAGGGGATGGAAAGTAAAGAGGTAGGCAGTCCCAGGTGGTTTTTGTTTGTTTATTGGTTTGTTTTTATCATCTCAATCACTTGCTTTAGAGGAAGGACAAGTATGAAAGAAACTAGAAAAACATCCATGAGAGACTCTGGAACAACTGGAAGTGAGGCATGATGCATGAACTCACGGTAAACAGAGACACCAGCCACTTTTGGCTTGGAGAATACAAAACAAACCTTACTGGTTTTAAAGGCACCTAATCAACTAAGCTAAATCTTTGTGTCTCTCTGGGCTCACAATTACAGTAGATGGACTAGTTATTTATTTTTGTTAAATCAGAGAAAGATGAAGGATCATGGTGACAAAGGAGGTACTCTCAACAGTGACAAATTCCTTTCCTCTGAGTTCTCTCTTCTTTTTTAGATAAAACAGTGATGGCCTCTTTGGTAAAATCTAACTAAACATGATGATTTCATATTATGGAAATCCTTACTCAGAATTTGGAAGGTATTTATTTTTTTACTTAAATTATTTTCACCTCTGTAAAGCTGGGTTGAAAAAACTATGTCTTTAATAGAAGTACTAAATATCTATGATTTTATGAAGAAAAAGAATATCAGAAACAATAAAGGGTTTTGGACCTGGTGACTGAGCTATCGTCTCTAGGAAATGTGAATTCTGGGCAGAGAGGTGCAGAATTGCATCCCTAAGAACCACTACTTCACTTTCTTACCGAAGGGAGATGGGATATATGTGCAGATTCTAAGTGTCTTAACAGAGTTTAATGTTTTCTAACGACATAAAAGGACTAGCTTTCAAAACCTTGAATTGGAGGGAGATAGGAAAACCCAGGAGACAGGAATTCTCCTAAATGTGCTAATAGTCAAACAGACTAGTGCTTCCTCCTTGAGGACCACAGACCAAGCTGGTCTCCGTGTACCTGAGTGACAAGAACATCTTTGAAAGCTCAGTGCACTCTAAAAGCTAAGTAAGAAAATCAAAAGGAACTGCTTTTGTTAGCAAAAAAATTCAACACGGTGTGTGTTTAAAGGCTTTCTTTTCTTTTCTTTTTAACCTTAGGCAATGAAATGCCCTTCCTCTGTATCAAACATAACAGGCAGCTTTTTCTCTTACAAATATTTCCATCGCTAAGAGAGGAGTGTTCTGGCTTTTGGCTAACAGCATGCCCATATCTAAGGGCAGTGCAGACAGAATGCCAATTTGCTGTAGAAGCAATTATACATACAGACTAGGAAAAGGCCAATTTCACTATGCAAGGACCACACATACTGTATGTTTGTTATATTATTTGATATCAAAGCAAAAACATCAAGTTCTTCCTAAAACACACATGAAATGAAGAGCCTGGCTAAGGAACTCCCACATCTAATTCAGAGATATCTGTTACAGCTTACAGAACTTGGCAATGCTGACACTACTGTTTTACTGGAAAGAGACACGCTTATTGATTCCATAATACACTATGACTTCTTTACATATATCTTGGGTAAAATGAGCATAATTTTGATACTAATTGCTATAAAACAGGTACACTATCAATGTATGACACTTAGGTATCACATCACCAGTGCAACAGCAAGAACTTGCCAATCCTATGTCACTAGGTGACCTCATAATATTTAATCAGGCGTCAAGATTATTATCATAACTTAAGAGGGGTGGTCTATAGTAAGAATTATCATCTCTGTTTCATTTTGAAACATTACGATGTTGGTGTGATTCATTCATTTGTTCATTGCGCAATTACTATCTCTACTCACTGCCAAATACAGGCCTCAGGGATACAGAGCTAAATGAGACATGGCCTTTAGGGAAATACATTCTTGAGGTGGGAGAGGGGAAACAGAAAATGAACACAATAAATCAGGGCAATGCATACTATATTTTATATAGCATATGTAAATAAAGACTCATAGAGAAAGCATGTGGTAGAGAAAAGACGGTCAGAGAGAGTGAAACTGAGGACACCCTGGAATGAGGAGCTGCAGTTTCTTGTGTGGATTAGGGGATTGGCCCTTCAGGAATAGGGAATAGCGTGCAAAGTGTGAGAGTGTGAGAGAGCAGGGGGCTGAAACGTTTGCTATTCCTGGAGCAAATGTGTGAATGAGAAATGAGCCTGGAGAAGAAGGGATGCCACACTGGAAGGGCTCTGCACACCATGAGGAAGAGGGCATATTTTCACATATTCCCAGACACTCTAGATAAAATAATGAAAACAGTATGATACTGGCATAGAGATAGATACATTAATAAGACAGAACAGGAAGTGGAGAAACAGAATAGGAAAATTAGATGACATATGTGAAAGTTTAACAGTGAGTAAAGGATGGATTTTTCAACAAGTGGTGTTTGGACAATAGTCAATTATTAGTCAAACCACTTGAAAATAAAATTTAATTCCTATCTACCACACTGCACATGAAAAAATATTCTTATATGGATGAAAGATTTAAATGTAAAGTATCAGGAGAAAATGTTTGTAATCTTGGGATTAGGGGATGCCCTTCTTTTTATATGTAAATTTGACATCAAAATGGCAAAGCAAATTTTACAAAGCAAAACAGACAGATATAATGACAATCTTCAAAAAATACAAACTTTTGAAAGGTGTAAGACACTATAGTTGTAAGAAAAATGACAAGTTAGGAAAAATATTCGTATTATATGTAATAGCCAAAAGATTAGCACCTACAATAATATGCTGAGCTCCTACAAATCAATAAAAAAATCACCTAACAGAAATGGGCAAAGGACACAGATAAGCAATTCATGGAAGAAACGATACTTTATGATACAAAAGTATGCTCAACTCCCATTACATCAAAGGAATACTATAGTTTTACTTTTCACCTGTTAGGTAATAAGCAAGAGATGCATGTGAGGGACAGATATGCCAAATAATGGTTATAATGCCCAGGGTTTGACAGGGTGTGAACAATGAGAAATCAAACACTAAAGGTATGAAATCATTACGTCCTGTTTGCAAGATAATTTGGTAACATCTGATCCTGTCAATCCATATCTTCATTTTATAGAAATACATACATAGGTATACCCATATGCAAAACTCGTTTTTTTGCATATGCAAAACAACCAAGAATATTTACTGCACTGTTGTTCATAAGAGTGAAAATCTGAAAACAACCTAATGTTTAATTTAATAAATTGCAGCAGGTAGATAAATAAATTACTATGCTGTTGCTGAAAAGAATATGCTGGCATGGAAAGATGTTCATGATATATATTTAACTGAAATAAACAGTTAGCAGAACAGTATCTACAGGACAAGCTGCCGAGAGAGATAGTGAACTATAGCAGTTAGCAGCATGGGTGTTGGGCTCAAGTAGCCCTAGATTTGAGTCCCAGCTCCACTGCTTACCTGATACGTGAAAATTACTAACTTCTCTTTGTCTTGGTTTCTTCATTTGTCCACCTGGAATAGATTCTAATAGGACTTACCTCTCAGAGTTATAAGGAGAATTCCTAGTACATAGTGAGGCTTAATATACTAGTTATTAGTACTACTGTTACCACTTTCCTATAATTATTTTCAACCAATTCTCTTATGAAACCAACTTCAAAAAATGCAATCTAATATCCTTTGGAAGATTATGCTGGTTAAACTCTTTAACTGAATTTATACATCAAAGACAATTTTAGCTTATATAACCAAAATATTGTATTATTTGTTCAACTAACAGGCTAATGAATTTGACACATCAATTTCTGATGTAGGTCAGTTTTGATCGAATATTTGTAAACCACAATACAAACAAGGACCATGTTTGAGCAATATATTTAAGAATAAAAATAAGGAACTGTTAAGTTTACATAGGCCCAGTTATTGAGAACTCTAAAAAGCCTTCATGGCACAAATTAGAAATTGTCCTCTAGTCATCAAACGTCAAACTGATGTTTTTATGGTCGTTTCTATTGTATACCTCTTCTTTTTATGGTAATTCCTATTGTACACATATTTAATTTTCAATCATATTACCAAGAACAACATCAAAAAGTAGGCAGGCACTCCTTTACACATATTCCCCTAATAAGACTAGGAAAATATTCCATTCAAAATGAGAAAATGTTATGTAGTAATATATTTAATTGCCTAAATATATAACATAGAGTCTATATATGAAGAACCATACATACCCTTCTGTTCGGAAAATTGTTCGAAAGCTGTCTCCTAAGCTTTTGTAACTGTTTGGATCAGTTGAACTTCTCTGAATCTGGAACCTAAAAACAAAATTAAATACACACAAAAATCCATGTTAAAGATTTTGCCAAATGTTTTTTCTCATTTTTCATCTTAGGAAACTCAGCCTTTTCAGATTAACCCAAAAATATTATATTTTTGCTATAGAGTTTATTGATTTATTTTTATATACCATTTACCTTATTTTTGTAACCTTTATATTATTGTATTTCTCTGTACTTTAATAGAAACTGTAGAAAGAGGTTTTTTCCCATCTGTTGCTCAGCCAGACAGATGCACCCTGAGGCATGCATGCTTTTCTCTTTTGTGAAAAACATACACATATGCCATCGATTGCTTTAATGGATAATTCAGAAATCTGAAGATGCATGTGAAATAAAGAAGTAGCTCTATTTCTTATCTTAATTAGTGCTCCTTGATGGTAAGTTAAGACAAAGGTTAACAATACAGAGCAGCTAATGTGGCCCAACTTGAATCTTGACTGTGAATTTGGAATTCATTCTGGCAGATAGGGAGGGGCCTGTGCTTAGAGTGAGAGTTGGCACTGCTCACTCCTTCATGGTGGAGCAATTGGTCATTGTGGGTAGTTCAGGCTACCTGGATCTTTACAGAAGTGCAATGCCCTGCATACAATTGGTGCTCAAAAGTGTCCCCTTTTGCAATGCTAGATTCTTTTTTCTCCTTCTCTTTGGGTATGATCATGCATCTTGGAACTTCAAAATATGGAAGTTTTCAGTATGAGGGTAATTTTGTATTTTACCCTGGGGTTTGTTTCTAAAGAAGAAATTTATGACAAGTGTTTTCATTTCCTGACACCCCAGTTGTTCTGTTGTCAGGCTTCTTTAGTCTGCCTACTCCTTGTGTTTAACTTCCTTGTCCCAATTCTGAATTAAGGCCCGTATCCCGTCTGTACTTTCCTCCATAATTTTAGCAAGCATTTTAAAAATTTTGCAAAAGCACCTCTTATATTCTCTAATTTGAGATGTTTTTCTCGGATTGTTGCATTTATGATAGGACCACAACTTCTACTTCTCTAAGAGTGATTTATTTTGTATTTCTAGACCCCAGGGAATTATGTTGAAAACTGATACAAATATCACAGAAAAGTGTGAATAATTACTCTGATTGAAGAGGTTGAGCATATGAACAAAACAAGTATATGATAAGATTGGAAAGGATTTTTTAAAGTGGAGAGTTGTTGAATGTGATTGTTTAGGAAACTAGCCATTCTGAAATGAGGGAATTAAGCCTTCATAAGAGTGCTTGGCACATATAAATCCATAAAAAATAGTTATTGCTTCATTGGGTGAATTAGAAAGAGAGCATGGAGAGCAGAACATGAAAGCAACACAATAGTCTAGGTGAAGATAATGTCAGAATACGAATGGTGGCAACAGAAATGTAATAAAAGGGATGAATTTGTTGGGTAATCCTTTTTCTTTTAAAATAATTTTCCTTTTTAAAATAATATATTCAACATGACCCTTTTTGATCGCCCTCAACCTGGCAAGTAATATTCGACAGCCCTAGACCTACCATTGTCAAAGTTTAAAATGCCTTAGATACTCATCTTCATAATGGTTTTGCTTGTCAAACTTATAAGATTACTAGCATGAAAATTTTAAAAGGTTTGTTTCTAGGCAAGAACTATATCTATACAACTTAAATTGCATGAAGCTTATCAGAAGATAGTGGACCAGGACAGCTAAGTCATTTAAATTATTCTGGATCCAGATGTGCATCTGGTGTGTGTATAACCACTGGCCTAGAAGACTCAGTAAGCCGTTCTGTCTAGAATCAAGAACATGATCTGGTGTTCAAATAGATGGACCATGTTTGGTATTTCTGAACTACTGCATGTAGATGATAGAACAGAATCTCCATTTCTGATTTGCATATTTGTAACCTATATTCATTGCTGAGTGTGAAACATTTCTTTATGTCTAGTTGGGAAGTCTAAGACTCTTCTCTAATTGTTCTTTTGTTTGTTTAAATACACTTTTATTGATTTCAGAGAGGGAGGAAGAAGTAGAGAGAGCTAGAAACATCAATGATGAGAAACATTGGTCGGCTGCTTCCTGCATACACCCTACTGAGGATCAAGCCCGCACCTAGGCATGTGCTCTAACGGGAATTGAACTGTGACCTCCTGGTTCATAGCTTGATGCTCAACCACTGAGCAAAACTGGTTGGGCTAACTATTCTTTTAAGAAAATAACTTGAAAATATTTTGTATATTATAAAAGCATCACATGCTCATAGATTTTTCTCATTTATAATAATTTTTATTGTGTGTTTACCTCTGTCAAATTCTTTTCTAGATGCTTCTCTTTCAAATGACCAAGTATTTTAAAAAAATTGCCATATGAAATAAAATGCTACAGATTTTATTTTTCAAGAAGCACAATAAACAAACACAGGAGAAACAATAATTAGCAGTATATCCAAAATGTCAAGTAGCATCAGTACCATGTGCCCAGGTGTTCATCAGAGGGAGCAATGACCACGTCCTGAGGAGGACCAAAAAGGATTTCAAGAAGGAGAAAGGATTTGAGCTGGCCCTGTAGGATTCAGAGAAGTGAAAGAGCAAGCTAGGAGAAAGCATGTCAGGTGGTGGGGGGGGACAAAGGCCAGTGAGGAAAAGGCCTTTCAAGAGAAATGAGGGAAAAGACCCCATCACAGCAGCTGGCAATTGCTAGCTTCCTTCAGGGCAGGTGCTACAGCAGCTGCTGGCGGCATTCAGTTGCTCAGGGTGGGTGGAGAGCTGAGAGGGGTAGAGGAGGGTATTTAGGAGATAAAAGTCAAAGTCTGATACAGGTCATTTGAATTTTTCCTGCTCCTTAGCTGAGCACTTCAGCTAACTCTGCAGGGCCACTTCCCAGTTGTGTGCCTCTGGCCCCAGAAGGGACTGTAAGAGTCAGCAGAGGGCAGAGGCAATGCCTGAAAAGTGTCCTGCCAGGGCAGAGGCATCAGCTTGGTCTATGATGTCATGCACTTGGGTAAGGCAGGCCTTCTGTTGGCTTAAGCAAAGACAAACACAGTACTACAGTTATTTCATAATTAACTAGTTATCTAATCTGGCTATTGGAAGTCTAAGCACTTCACTCACTTGTTGCAATTTCTTTCTTTTTTCAGAATCCAACAGATGGTATTTCCAATCCACTATTTATTAAGTTGATAAGAGTTCTTGAACATTTACTATGTATTAGGCATTCCATTATTTGAGGCATTATAAAGAAGTAAGACATAATCCTGCCCTTTATTATTATTATTTTTAAAAATTTATCTTTATTGTTGAAAATACTACAGATGCCCTTCCCCTTTCGCCCCCCCCCCCACTGACTCCCTCCACTCTGCTCCCATCCCCCATCCCCAGGTCTTCACTGCACTATTGTCTGTGTCCATGGGTTATCCTATCTAATAAGAGGCGAATCTGCAAATTGTCCTCTCAACTGGGAGTTCAACCAGGGAGCAGGCTGGCCAGCCAACCACCTGCAGTCCCTTCCCCCAGCCAGCCCCACCCCCAATCGCTCCCCCCCACCCTGATCGGGGGCAGGCCAGCTGGACCCCACCTGTCACAAATTCATGCACCAGGCCTCTAGTGATCCTATATAATAAAAGCCTAATATGCAAATTGACCAAATGGCAGAATGACTGGTGGAATGACCGGTCGCTATGACACACACTGACCACCAAGGGGCAGATGCTCAATGAAGGAGCTGCCCCCAGCCCGCAGGCTCCAGGCCAGCCAAGGTGGGTGCCAGTGGGGCCCCCCTGATTGCCCCGCAGGTCACCCCACAGAGGGAGGCCACTGGCGGTGGCAGCAGGGGGTGGGGCTGGCAAATGGGCAGTGCCAGGCCAGCTAAGGCAGGTGCCAGTGGGAGACCCTCAATCACCCTAATGGTTGCCCCACAAATCAGTTATTATATACTAGAGGCCTGGTACACGGATTTGTGCACTGGGCCTCTAGTATGCATATACGATCTTGGTTAATCTTTTCCTGCCCTCTCCTCTCCCCCCTTCCCTCTGAGTTTCATCAGTCTGTTCCATGCTTCCATGTCTCTAAACTTATAGGTAAGGTGAAGGAGTTAGGTGCAAATAGATGATTACTATATGCAAGGAATAATGTTTAGGAATAGTGTTTCAGAATATCAGATGTCAGCCAATGAGTTTTATTGATACTGAATTAACACTAGTATCACTCTTATTGGAGATGATCTATGGGTGGACTGTGGCTGACAGAAAACAATATGACATAGAGACACTGGATTAAAGAGGGAAAACAGGAGGGTTATCTTTGGGCTAAATATCTGTGATTAAACTTTCCCCACCCACATTAGAGCAGGCAGCAAAGACAGTCAGTGGAATCCTTGAGGAGGGTTCCATTTAGAAGCTGACTGATGAGTGATGCTATGCTAATTACAAACAGGAGTGGCAACATCAAAGCAACATTACATGAGGAGCGTCACAACAGCCTTGTTGAGCAATGCAAGAGGCATGGTAAATACTAATTCCTCAGTAAGGTCTATGCACCACTCTTTACTGCTAAAGCAGCTGGAGGTCCCATTAAACAGGCTAAGGCAAGAATAGCTGTCTCTTCTATTGCACATTTCACACACTGCGTGTCTACATTCTTCAGAGAAAGTACATGCAGTGTTTAGTTCCACTGCACATGACTTATTGTGATCACAGAGTTATCAGTTCTTCTTAGGAATCTGTTTCAAGTTGATATAATTACAGTGCATTTTGGTCAATCATGTAAAACAGCAATTTTCTTCTTCCTCTCCACTACATTTCAGCAACTTAAAAGGTCCCTCTCTTGGACTGAAGTTTCACATCAGCATGCTCCAAGCTGCATTCTGTGCTAACAAATTCTCTCTATGCTTGAGGAGACAATTTCCAGTTACGTAATACAACTGTTTGTAAAATTACAAAGGCAAAGCCACACCACACTTGATTGTAGTTAGAAGAAAAGGCTGGACCTTTCCCTAATAAAAACTGTCCTAATAAAAGCAGTTTA